GATCAACAAACTCACTTCCTAATTAAGTGTAGGAGCATAATGAGGAACAGGGCATCCTTTGTTTAGCCAGCCCGTGTGAACTCCAGCCACAAGTCCCCAGACTCTCCTAACTCCTGCGTTCGGAGCTTGTAATTAGTATATAAGGAACCAGGTACTACAACAGCAACTTCTTTGACAGTGGCTCCATTCACTGCCAGCCAGATGTGAAGAACATTCAAAGGGGCCGACTGACTCACATATTGCATGGTGTTGTATGACACTATAATCTCTGGTTTTCAGCCCTACAATCAACAGGCACTGTCATTTTTAATGCATTCTAATTAGCTGTTAAGGTTTACAGGAAAGTTCACCAATGCAAGCAGAGCCACCGAGGTGGTTGGTCTGAGGACAAGTTGTTCAGGGTGCCTAATATTTTTAAACCGCCACCAGCTTCATTAACAGCAGAGATATTGATGTTAATATGATAAAAATGTTATCTTGGAGTGCATGACTGATTTAGGAAGATTTCAAATGTGCTTCTTTTAAATATTATTCCACAAAACAAAAAGAAAACAGAAAAAATGCACAAAAAAGCGTCCTCAACAGAACTTTGAGATAAACAAAAAACAGGACCTTGCTTAAACCTTTCCATTAGCTGACCCCTCTGCACTGCCAAAGGCAGCCCTGAGGGAAAAGTGACTTTGCTATACATCTTCCATCACAGAAAATCCAGCCTCTGGAGAACTGAGGCTGCAGACCACTTTCAGAGAGCAGAAGCCATTACTTCTCTTGCAGGGGCTCTTAGCTCAAGGTCTTGGATGGGCTCAGTAGCCTCAGCTGAGGCAATGACTCTCACTAGCAAAAAGGCCAGCTCTCATACCAAGTAGCCACCAGCCAGTGGAATCAACGCAGTAGAAGGTAAACTTGATAATAAGATATTATTAGCGCTATGGAGTGTAAATTGCTCCTCTGAAAGAAAGCAAATGGATTCCTCCTGTATTTGACAGCTTTACTGTCCTAAAAGCAAACCAAGATAGACTTCAGCAAATGACCTCTGCTGAAAGCTCTTTCCTGGCCAGTCAACCAGCAAACTCTTGACAACAATAAACATTTTCACAGAAAACTTTGTGATGCAGAACTTTCTGAGCAGAGCAGCTCCCTTAACTGACTTGCATGGTTGTCTGCATGAGTACATGTTTAGTCATGGGATTAAAGAGCCATCAGAGAAAGGTTTGCATGGTCAGCTTGTACTTACCAGCTACGGTCTGGGGAGTATATGGACATGGAATATAAAAGAATAGCAGGTGAGCTAGTGATAATTACAGAGCACCATCAGCAAATTATGAACAGCAAATGAATCATCCTAACACATAAGCTGAGGGGCCATGGGCTAGTACATGCTCACATTAATCATTCACTGAATTACTTTAAATATAATAATAAACACATTCAAACAGAAAAATCAAAGTTTGCTTGTGAAATAGCATAAAGAACCCATTTCAATGTGTTGACTGTAAATTATGTCTTTGGATTTAGTTCTAATTAATAACAGTTAGACAAAGCTGCACAGGAGAATATTTTTCTGAACTCTAAGCACACACCAGATAATACCAAGTGAAGAGTCCCTTTGCAGAAATACGCTTTATACTTTTATTATAGTCAAGAGAAGCAGCCTCATACTTATATTTCCAAACAAGTAAGTCATTCATCTAGAATCAATCTTTAAACTATGAGGTATTATCAAGTTGTTTGTTCACTTTGTTTCCTTTGCAGATGAATGAGTTCAGGCTATCTCTAGAGTAATGCAGTGATGAAATCGTCTTCCATCTGGTTCATGCCTGTTAGCTGCTCAAAGATAAGTTACACTGCCCCGCATCCACTTTTCTTAGGTCAGTCTAAATTGCTCCATTCAGCCACAGCACAGAGGAACAGAAATACGAGACTTTCACAGCAGCCCTTTCTGAAACCCACAGCCATCATGGGCTCTGAGCAGAAAAGAATTCTGAAAAAATCACTGCTTCTACCTCGTGACAAGACTGATTTATCCTCTTATCTAAGGATACCTGCATCTGTAACAGTTTTCCTCTAGCAGTGATCTAATAATTAATAACACAAGTATAAAGAAGAGAATAGCAGTGAGGAGAAAGACAGGCTTTCAAGTAACACCTCTCATTTGGTATAGTCCATGATTATATATTCTCCAAGACATGAACAAATACTGCTTGCTATGTGTTAGGTAAGATCAGACACCAGTCAGACGGATTACTCAACTATTTATCCAAGGCAAAACCAATGGAAAAAATAATGAAATGACGTTGGCATCACACCCTTTCTAACAATACTGTTGCTGCGGAATTATTAAGGACCTAGCTTCTGCTGGGTTCCACATCAGAGCAGGCTCACCTTTGCTCTCAAGAGACACATCACCTTCTGGGTTTAAACGTGCAAAAGGATGTAGACTGCGGGAGCTCATACATATCATTTCCAGATCCAACCCATTTTTTTATGATATTCTTTTTTCTTGTTATAACAGTTGCATATTAGAAGCATGCAGCCAGGTCACCAAGGGTCGATTGATGGCAGCTGAGAGTATTGCAGAGAAGTCCAGTTACCTACCCCAGCTACTACCCAAGAATCTCACTCAAAGCAACCTAACACACAAACAGGAATTTGGATATTCTATGACAAGAAAGGTATCCCAAAATCTGACGTAGTTTTGTATTCAATAATGTGGTAGAAGGACAGAGGTGGGACAAAATTCCTATAAAATAGGAGTGGCACAGGTTTGTCTAAATTAACAGAACTCCATCACAGAATTTCATCAATTTCTTGTTGTCTCTTTGTATTTCTTTCCACATCACTCTTATTTGTATTTCATACTGAATTGTTTCGATTTTACTGTCTCAAATTCTTTTTCATTCTCTCCTAAAGTGGATTCTGAACCCGAAGACATTGGCACACAAGACATGCATTTGAATCCACATGATGCAAGTGGATTTAAAAAAGGAAGAAAATTAAATAATAAATAAAGCTTCCTTCATGCTAACTACAGCAGAGTAATCAGAGACTTCTGCCAGCCAATGATTGATTTTTATTATCCTCACTACTACTGTTGATGACTACTGTTTATCTGCTGTGATTTTTGCCGGGCTATAAATTCCCTAATTAGGAATTCTCGCTGAAAGAAGAAAGCTTCATTCAAACTGCGTTGTCCTGTTGATAGCATCCTCAAATATCTGTCCATCTGCTCCTGTCTGGTCACATATAACTAACTTCCAGCTGCCAACAGCAGACATCAGCTCCCAGCTCAGCTTATGCACAGCAGACTGCAGATTTTCAACTGTGCCTGTGCAAAAGCCTTGCTATGTGATATAACAGGGAGAAAGAGAAGTAGCAGAACCTGAATCATCTTGTACCACTTTGGCGTGTGCGCTGACAGGCGGTAGCTGAGAGGGAAGCTGCGGTTATTGCTATGTTAACAGGTCTCTCTGTAAATCCATCATATTAGAGGAGTCCTTATGTGACATGTGGGAATTAAGATAGGTGGAAAACAGGAAATACACACCAACAATAAACCTGAGTTTTAATCAAAAACACACCTGGTGAAAGAAAGGAATCATTTCAACTTGAAGAACTACATACAAACTCAAGCTAGGCTTATTCAAATGAACTACAGTAAACATTAAAGATTAGGTCAAGAAACAATCTCACCATCCAAAGACATAATCCATGTTACAGGCTGAACCATAGCAAATCTGAAGCAAACCTTTATTTTTCAAAATAATGATTGCAACCAAAATCTCTTCTGCACAAGATGAAAACACAGCTATGGTACTAATCATTTTTTTTAACTCATTCAATGGTGCATCATTGCACTACACAAACTTCTTTTCTATAAGGCATTTAAAGACTTCGTAATCCAGAATAGGTTTCGAGCATTAAATATTAACTCATTAGTTATTAGCAGGCATAATTTCACTAGAAACAGAGCATTTGATTTATGCAAACTATCATAATGGAGCCACATTCACAGATGCCCAGGTTGAACATTTTTGTGAATACCAGTAGGTGCCTAACTGCAGCTCCAGGAACACAAACATCTCTGCTAACCTAATGCCATGCGCTCCCCAAGCCTAAGGCTATTTCTATACCTCTCAAGCTATTGCTCAAAGAGCTCGTTCTACAAGGCCTAGCACACTGCTGAGCAGAGACCCTAGCTTTGCTCTCAGAAATTTGCCACCAATTCATAGCAAAGGAGGACACATTTCATGCTTTTGCCTCCCAAAAGACTGTGGATTCAATGGTTTCTCTCTGATTAAAAAATAGGCAATTTTGTCAAAATAGGAGCTTTTCAATATTTTTACTGAGAACATTCAAAAATGTGCCTGGCTTCTGAATTACTCACTCACATCCATAAGAGCTGATATTTTCTGAAATTCATCAGATACAGTCAGTTAGACCACCTGTGTGCTTAAAGTTAACCATGTTCTTACATCCTGTACTGATCTAAATGCTCAGCACTTTGGACACTTAAGATCTAGTGCCTTTCATGAGGGAATGGAAAGAAAGTGTCAACACTTTGAGGTCACTCAATAATTAGTCACTGCTTCATTGAGATAGTATTCTGCCAAATGCACTGCAAACACCTCTGCTTCAGAAATGGTATTTTTAGGAATGAAACACAGGAATGGGTAAGGAAGGACACAGTAGTCAGACTCTCCAATATTCATCACAAGGTTAATGCTCTGCTAGACCTGTTCTACCACACCTGTGAGAGGCTGCAGACTCGGGGAGAAAGCTTCATACACAGCACCAAGAGCCTGAGTAGCTCATAGGAAATACAGACTTTCCCAAGTAATGGCTGCCTGGTTTCCTTCTCCTGTTCTGGGAAAGTTTGAAGCTAAAACAATTCTTTCTTTGTTTTTGGAGGGGTTTTGTTAATAACGCTGGCAGGTCTATAGACCTAAGAACACAACTGAACTCCCCAGAACTGGAGACACACAGAAAAACTTTAAGCTCACCTAGTCTCTGGTGTGTGATGACCTGGTGAATTCTCTGGCAGAAGGACGCTATGATAGTTTGCTGCTGCTTTGCGGGCTGGATCTGCTTGTCAGTTAATGGAAGGAATCCAGTATTCTTTTCAGATGATGAAATTATTTCATAATGCTTAAAAGAAGAAAGAAGAAAAATATAAAAAATTAACTTAGAGTCGGTGGAAAATACATACATTAGTGTGCACATATTACAGAATTTTCTTGAGATGGTTAAAAAAAGGTGACTACAACTATAGGTATTGTAATACTTGATACCAGAGAGGGGTAAGAAAGAGGAGCCTGCTTTATCATGAGAGATTTATTTACTACTTATTTTCAGCCTTACTGTTTCATTGATATCTGTCTTTTTCCCCTGCGTTTTCAGAAAGCCTCCTTCCTAAGATAGCATCATGCAAAAAAAAAAAAAAAATTTTAAGCTATGCTGCAGGCAAAACACTAGAGCTTTAGAACTAGGGAAAAATAAAATCAGGCCTTGAATTTAGAGCATCACTTCCAATCCTTGCCTACAAATAAATCACTTAACATATACAGAAGCATTCTTTCATACTAAAACCAATGTACAATTTAAAGATTGGTTGTTGTTTTTTATTCCCTGAGGGGGGCATAATATCCGTGAAGATGAAGCTGATAGTGAATATTGTTGTGAAAACTGCTGATAAATTTTTCACATAGTTACAGACTCGCAGTAGGTTTCACTTGCACTCAGCTCTGGCACTTGATAAAACTAAAGGCAATATAGCTAGTAAAAATAGCTCTGTGGAGTTTTCTAAAATATGGCGCTCCCTCTAATTGCTCCCTTACTGCCCACCTCACCCTTGCAAAACTTTTGGCTCTTGAACTGTTTGATTAGCTATTACGAATCTGAAGACAGAAGAGAGGGAAGCCTTCTGAGGAAAAAGAATGACCCTATTTGGTAAAAGTAGTTTGTATGGGACTTTATGTTCCTACATTTGGCATTTGCTTATGTCGCCTTGCGGCTTTAGAGAACTCAAAATAAATGGGATTGGAGATGAGCACTATTCAGGAGAAAGATAGCCAAGAAAAATGTTGGTGCTGTGAGGAGTGGTGGCAGCAGTACATTTTTTGCTCTGATTGTTGTTTTTAATGCTCAGACCTAGTGGTAGGGGGGAAAGTACATTACTGGAAGTTTCATCTTTCATGTGGTACCTAAGTCTGAGGTCTTACCCACATATGGTTATCAAATAACTTGTGTAACTTTGCACAGTAGTTGGGATATTAAACTGCCCTGGACCTCCTGTGCCTCAGAAAAAAAAATCCTTTATGTTCAACTTTTCAGCTTCCTCTATTAAAGAGCATTTGGGCAATTATTACCAAGGGTCCCAGCACACATCTGGAGTTATGGCAGCTCAGTGAGATGCCCTGCCACTCAGTCAGTAACCAACCACTTACCTGTGCTTAGTCTGTCCCAGATGTGACGTATCTAGGCTTGCACCTTTTTAATGGGATTTAAGATTTTAGTTCATGCTTGAAGTTGGTTAACTGCAGCTTAGCTGAGGCATTAAACTGTGGTAAGTCAAGCAGGTTTTTGTCTGAGTACTAATATAAAACTTCTCCTTTATTATACGTCAGGAAAGGTTGCATTTCTAATGTGGCTGAATGACCTCTAACATGGGAAGGCCCGAAGAGCTGTGCTGGAAAAACACCAAGCTCTCATTCTCGTCAAACAGTAATGATTTTCAACTGTCCTCATGTACAGTGTAGCTGGAGAACACCAAAGTGAAAAAAACATCAGCTTTGAAAACACGTGGCAAAACTGAACAGGGCAGCCTGAAACCTCAGACAAATGAAAAAGTGTTCACATTACACTCATGAGTCTCTCTTCAGGAACAGTACGTGGATGACATCTACATTATTCGTTTGTTCGAAGTTTGTGGTTCATTCTTACACGTGTGTGTGAGGGGAGAGACATCTCGTTCCCTGGGGGTCTTCTGAGCCAGCTCAGTGGAAAAGAGGTTCCCAGGGCTGCAACAACAAGCAAGAGCAGCACAGCATGGAGCAGAGAGTCTGCAGCTCAGGAAGACAAGGCTGCGGAGAGGGCTGCGAGCAGATAAACAGGCCTCAGGGGCAGAGAAGGGACTTCCCATGGACCAGAGGGAAAGCTGCAGAATTTACTGCCACTCAGAAAGTCACTGAGCTGGCTAGAAACCAGGACTCACTAAACACAGAGAAAGCAATGGCAGAGCTGTTTACAAACCTCTTTACTTCTGCTCTGTCTTCCCTAGCTGTTGAGCTTACCCTGTTTAAAAAGATGCATTTTGTGTTTTTCACAATTCAAATAAATCCTGGCTTTTTGTGTTTAAAAGCCTTCCCTACTACAAGGGAAAATTCTAAGAAGATCCATCTCAAGTCACAGATGCAATCATCGTATGACACAGCGCAAGAAGTGCAGAGTCTTCTTGACAATTCAAAGTGGATTAGAATTAGCTAAAGCAATTTTCCTCCATTTTATTTAACCTGGTTAAATCTGTGATTCAAATAAATCTAAAGCATAAAACTGTCCATAAATCATTATAAACAGGAGCTGCATGTATCTTAAGTTCACGATATGAACATGGTAGCTAGAATACCAAGAAAAAAATGACGATAAAAATTGAGCCATCTTCTTTCACAGTCCTCTATTGATCAAGCCATTCTTGCATCATTTCACTCTTCTGTCATCCCTTTGCTGGGCTAATAGCAACAGCCTTCAGCTGTCTCTGGTTTCCGAAAATCCAGCTTAAACTCAAAGACCTTTAGGTCTTTTCTAATTTAGAGAGTTTACCTCTGCTAGGGAAAGAATCTAAAATAATAAACATTTGACTGCTTTAAAGTGAAAACTGCCTGCCAGTCCTCTTCTCCCTCTCACTGCATACACAAAGCTTCACTTCAATAGACCCAGGCTGGAACTGTGCTGCAATGATGAGCACTCCCTTATCAGACTCAACAGCACACAAAACAATTCTCTCCACTGCAAGGAGAATACTTAAACGTTAATGTCACTAGGAGGCCTGCAATGTAGAATCCACCAGGGCTGTGTGGGCTCCTCGGGCTCAGAATACATGGATATATTCTGAGACATGAACTGATTTTTGGGAAAAGCTTTATATCACTTGTCAGATCAGCCCAGTCTTCCCTAGGTAGTGTATTCACATCTCTGAACACTTCACTCCCTTCAGACACTATGGATTTATATCTAAGAAGTTCTGAGAAACAATGGTTTTTTTGGGGCGGGGGGGGCAGCCCTGTCAAAAAGAAAGAAAAATGGGTTGTCAGCTCTTCATATACTTGCAAAAGGGATACCTATCTGGAAAAGGTTTGTTCCAGAGCCTGTCATTCCCCCAAAGAGGCAGCTTTGCAGTGATCACTTCTACGCTCCCTGCAGGCCTGAGTTTTGGAAAAAGAAGAAACTCTTGAGCTCTTTAATAGGAAAGCCATGTCATTTCCAGGCTTCTGCTTTCCATGTGCCACACACATCAGTCATGCTGGCAGGTACAGACAGGTCCAAGTCTTTTCCACTTGGATTTTCACAGGTGTCGTTAGAATTACCTGAACAAAATGTACAAATCGTTGACAGGGCAATCAATACACACACTACCACTCTTTTCATCAGAAGCTGTCCCACAGAGAATGTTACTCCTTATGAAGCTGAAAATCTACCTTTCATTTTGTAAAACATGACAATGTCTAAACTAAAGACATTGTTTACATTGCTTTTAAAGGAAATAGTGCAAAGTACAGGGAAGCTAGTGAACCCAAAACTGAAATTTAGAGAAGACCCTACTCAGTCATCACCCATACATCAGACTTCTACCTCAGTATTTGCCCAGACAAGATGCAGTCTAAGCAGCTGGGGATCCAGGAACAAGCCATTTTCTTGCCTTGTACAACATCTCAGAACACGTCCATCTTACATGAATGAGATTGGGCTCCACAACATGTATTTGCAGCTGCTGTTCATTGGCAAAAGCATCACAGCAGTAAAAACAGGCTTGTGAGGACCACTGTTGGGGATTTACAGCACTTATTTTAGAAAAAGGAAAATGGGGTTCAATTCCTGCTTCATTTCCAAAGTGTGTAAACACGAACTCCCATTTCCCAGAGCTTTAAGTACAAGTCCAGAGGCCAGTCCGGCTAGGTGGCAGCTCTGCCCTTCCTTGTGATACCAAGATGACACAGTTCTGAATTCACAGAGCATGGGAAACAGCCCAACTCTAAGTCATAGGGCATGAGGAAGTCTTGGGTTCAGGGACTGTTCATACAGTTTCACTGGTGGACCTAAAATGAGACAGAGACTAATCTAACTCTGGTGAGGGCCCTAACCTCTAGTCTGCATATCCTCCCTCCCCCTTTTCTTCCAACGAGTCTCAACTGGTATGCTGTACCGTACCCAATATGATCAGACTGCTCTGGCCCCATTCTGAGTGTTCACATTTCTAAAACCCTTATCTTTGTGTTCTCTGGTCTGCGTCCCAGAATTGAAAAATACAATAAGTTCTTCCAGGAAGGATTCGCCTTTGCTGTCATTCACAAGCCACATGCTGGGAACTATTGATACAGATACAGAGTTAATATTCTGATATTTGCATTATTTTACTTTCAAGAGGTACCTACTGAAAGAGGTATTCAGATGAGGAAATAAAGCCTAAATGTTGCACTGTCTTGGCTGTCTTTGCACGGCACATGGTAATTGCACAGCACATGATGTTGCAAATAAGTTGGCTCCTACAAATATGGGGTTCCAGCTCAAGTCATTATTCCTCAAGATATGAATTAAGAAAACAATAATAATGACAGAATAACATGAACCAGATTCAAATCCCTAGGCTGACAGCTATGAAAGGGGACATGTTCTAGAACTGGGCACTGATTAGATACCAAGAGAGACAACAGTTTTGCTCAGAGTTGAATACAAGTAGGAAAAAATAAAAGAATAGATACTATGAGTTGTAATATAGCAAAAGTAGCTCCATGCTCTACCTGATTATGTCAGCAAATGACTTGGAAGCCCAAAGCAAACTACCAGAAACAATCAAAAAGTATTTCTCAGCCCTGAAAAGTGTCATATTTGAAAGTTTCTTGTCAGCAGAAGTTGAATCTCAGGAAACAACAGATCAGCATGTGCATGCTGCATGTAACGATCAACTCTGAAAAGTTACTGGGTTGTGACTATGCACAGAGCCTTCTCCTCTAGTTAAGAAGACCTATACAAAGGAAGAGTTGTGGACGCTGTGGAAAAAACATTATACAGTCATACAAAAACATGTTTAGCATGAGACATCCCCTCAATCTCTACTATAGCATCTACTACTCATGTATTTGTAGCAAGTCATCAGGAGCACAGGCAGCTATTATTGTTTTTCCCAGCTGTGCCTTGCACATGCGCCGTACACCTACATGGACATACAAATCTAGCTCCACCAAGCACTTGTTTTCCTAAAAGAATGCATAATAAAGAGCAAGAAAGCAAGTGAAAGACAAGTCATCACTGTCAGTCACAGAATCCATTAGATTGTTAAACAGCCTGGTAGACGTTGGTAACTCACTTAGGCTGAATATTTACATATAGCTATACCCTCTAACTATATCACTAACATGGCTCACAATGCCAGTGCCTAGAGCTGAGGAAACATTATCTGTCTAGGAAAATGCCAAAACATCCTCAGTATCTTATACCAAAGGTAAAACTGCATAAGGAAGGCAAGTATATCAAGATACTTTGGCTATCAATAGGCAGACCACAGTGAATGAGAATGCCCTTTGGACTTAAAAGCACAAGAGAGTTATACCAGTAAGGCCAAAAAAGCCCTCACAGACTTGGGGTCGTAGCTAGCAGCATCTCGTGGCTGAGACCTGACAATAGTCAGATCAAAACTGCAACCTGGTCTATCTGCAGGAAACAGAGAAATAAATAAGAAATTCAATAAAAATGAAGCAAAATTATAACAATTAGTGTGACAAAATGTTGAGTACACAGCGAAATTTCAGCATTGGTGTTTTGAAGGTGCTTGCTTTTAGGCATCACTTACAGATTTAAAGAACACAAGAAAAAGATCCAACGATAAATGCTAGCAGCTGTCTGAGAAGTCTTCTCGTTTGTCTCTCAGCAAAAGGGAAAGATGCCATACCTCTCCTTTAACTCTAGAGCCTGTTCTCCTTCATTCCTACTTCTGCCTGATAGGTAGGAATTCTCTTAACCCTCTTCGGACAGTTGCTTCAACTTACTGCCCCAGGGAGCCTTCAGTGCTGCCCTACAGCACACACAAGGAGATCCCTGTTTTCAGGCACACAACAGAGAATGAGCCTCTAAAGGAAAAAGAGGTGGTGAATGTAAAAACTAGCATGCAGAGCAACTTATTTTTAAGCAACATTTTTCAGTTTTCCCAGGAAGAGTAGCAATTCTTTGAATCAGAGTGGGGCTTTCATTCTTAAGTGGAGCAGAGAGAAAGATGCAAAGATCACTTGCAAAGATGAAGTCCAAGACAAATCAAAACATTAATCTTGAATCCTAAAGTAGAGCACTAAACAAAGTGAGCAATGAGATAAATATAAATGAACAGGGTTTTTCTTCCAGTAGAAAGAACAATAGCATCTACTAATCAAATACTGATGTTTTCTTCCCTTTTTATTTACTGTGGGTTTCGTGAGATCCTAGGGTATTTTGACTGCAGAAAAATCTTTTTAGAGGGTAAAACGTCTATCAAGGCTGTAATCAAAACACACCTATAGACATTACATAATCTGGTTTTCTTATGAAGCCCAGGTGTACATGAAGCAGTACAAGCATGTTCCCAAATGATCGTTCCAGAGAGCCACCAGTTGTGCTGCAGAGCAAACTGGAGACTTGGAACTCATTAGTGCAATGACAAGAATTGGTGAGACTTAGCTAATTCACTGTGCTTTACACAAACACACTTCTTTCTATTGTGTAGTAAATTTTTCCAGGCGTTCTTCAGAATGGAGTGGATCTGTTCTGAAGATCAGCTCAATAGTGAGTTATCGTTGCTGCTCTTCTTTCTCTGAGTGATTAGCTTGGCCTTTCTGCTTGGCATTGTTCAAGCACACTGCATGTGGGAGGCAGACTTGGAGCTCTGCCATCAGACCCAGACCACACGTTATGCACTGATGAGAATGGCACATGCAGTGCAGTCAGAGTCACACATGAGTGCTCACACTTCAGCAACAGCAGTAAATCATGTTGCTGAACCCCCAGTTCAAAGTGAGTGTCGATCTCTGCCACTCTTGTGATTTTAATCGCTTTGGCAAAATGAAGGGCTTTCCCTCTGAGACATGCAATTGAAACAAAGCAACAGAAAGCTGGGAAATGCAGTATTAATTGTGTCACAGACACTGAAAAAACAGAGAAGTGATGAGTGCAGGATGTTTCAGAGCCCTTTGCCTGTGTCATTGGCCTCTATCCTGCTGCCACGTGGCTAGCCTACCATCCTGGATACAGGCTCTACAGAATCCAGAGGAGACCACTCTCAAATAATTCGTTCTAGGTTGTTTCACTGAGCACAGGACATGCTGGGACAAGATGTTGTATTTCTCAGACATTGCAGACATGACCAGCAGAGCTCAAAGTAGGAAGTAAAGGAAGTCAGGAAGTCAAACCAGTACGGTGTAAGACTCAGAGCTGGTAATGTAACAGCTGGCAACGAATTTACTTCTTCTTACCTGTTACCTATGCCTCAGGGAATGAGAACTGGCACGAACCTCTCCTAAAATTGAATTAAAAAGAAAGCCTTGGCTGCCTTTGCCCTTAAAGATGTGTTGTAGGTCAAGACTGTAGCATGCCTGGTTGGTTGTACAGAGAATTGCATACTCTGACTGCTGTACAGAGCATGATACCTACTCCATGAATAAGGCAAAAAGGTAGGTACCCTTAGTGAACTTTTCACAAAAGCTACATCTACATGAAAATGTTAAGAAAAATGTCCCTAAATATTAATTCAAGCCTCTAAGCTGCAAGAGTTTTCGCTATTAATTACTAAGCTACCTCCACATTCAAATTTTGTAAAGGGAAGAGATGGCAGCTCAAAGTTAAGCTATTGCTTGTGAACTGTCCCGGGGCACAACCCTGATGACTGACACCCTGTCCATCGATTCAGAACAGACGCAATTTCGAGAGGCAAGGCACTGACCCAAGCTGACTCAGCACTGTCTTCCAGAAGCAAAGGCACTGTGAGACAGTTCAGTCCTTAGACACTCCACTGGGACTGCCAATTCTAGCAATGGGTTTTATTATATGGATCACTATTCATTAAGAGCTGGACTAGGACCAAACAGATACAGATGGAAATGCCTTTTTTCATAATGGACTTGTTCCAAACCAGAGCTCTAGGTCCCAGTATATATCCCTCTTACCAGCAGGTTCCCAAAGAAGAAGAACAGCTTACAACTGTTTTATAAAACCCAGCTGTTTAGAAAACTCAGATAATTCACCCTACCCCCAAATCTACGAATAACTTCCCAAATAACAGTTTTTCCTCCTACAGCGTTAAGACACAATAGATAGAGACACCCAGGAATACACAGCGCTGCTTACAAATGACCTTCTAGGTCCAATTTCCTACTTTGTTATACAAGATAAACACAGCTATTGCATTACAACATTACCTGATACAAAGTTACCCCGATAAACATTGCCATAGGAGGGCAGAAAGAGATACTCTTTTGTATGAAAGGTCCTACATGAAGCAAGAATAAATGTTAACTCCTTATTTGAATGCTGAAGCTCTTTTCCCAGCTGTAGCAAACAGGGAAAATGCTAGCAGGAACTGCAAGTGAGGAGAAAGGTTTTGGAGACCTTACCTACTTCTTTGTCAGTCACGTATACTAGTTCAGGATTCCTGTTCCCTATAGGATAATAAACACATTCAAGTCAATAAATATCAGAGAAGACGAGCAGACTCATGTTTCATAAAGCAGCTTCATGCTTAATTGAGGCTTTTCTATGACAGTAGAAATTTAGATTGAGACTTTTACACAGCCCACCAAATAATGATCAGAATGAAGAAGATGGCAAGAAAATGATGGATTTGCTGATCCTTTGAACAGTCAGACACGAAGCTGAAAGGCTCATTAAACACATTTCTTTACAGAAAGGTGCAAATACTTTACAAGCACCAGGGTTTCAAGATAATTAATGTGTCTTTATTTTTGAGGAAAATCTCAGTCCATTATTTAAATGCACAATGAATGCAGTACACTACAGCGTGCTTCCTTGGCTCCTCATACAGGAATTGGAGAGTACCAACCATTATCCAGCCGTGTGTGTTCACTTGTGTACTGTGAAAAGGTTTAATGAGCCACAAAGTGTATTTTGCTCTCTTCATGGATCATGGAAGTAAAAGTCCTGAGGGTGAAATGGCTTGTGTTGTTTCTGTTGCTGTGAACTGGGCCCTCAGGGGTACATTTTCAGTACAGTGCATGTGGATTTGGCTGCTTGACTCCCACTGGTGTTGATGGGACTCATGCAGCTAAAACCCCATGAAGTGCTGGAAAATGTGTCCCCGGAGTCTGTAAAGCATCATTATCTTTTCAAATAAAATCGACGGAACCAGTTTGATGGGAGTGCTCCTTTTCTGCAGAGTCTGCAGTGCTTCTTCACAATTGCAAGTGAGAGTGCATGGGAATGCACGGAGATTCACACTGCATCTCCAGACATGTTCTCGAGGAACTAAATTGCCCCGGCTTTTGTGCCAATGTAGTAACAGAGGGTGTAAGAAATGTTAGAAGATGCTCCTCTGTCAAGTTTCTTCATACAGGCCAAATTACTGTGGTTGATCAATGTAGGTGCTGCTCACACTCAGTGCAGTATGAGTTTGTATCACTCCAGGGGACCTCAGGAAATATGAGCAGACAGGATAATAGTCTCATCTCCTTTTGTATATCAGCAGCAGGCCTAGATGTTTTCCAGAAGGTGACAAAATCTGTCCCTTCGCAACAGAATCAGCACAACTGAGATGACTGTCAATAACCTCAATTTGAATAATCCAATCCCATTTACATTTGCAAAATGTTGATTTATTTATTTACCTTGAAATTTAGCCAGGAATTGAAGTCCAACTATTTGACAGCTTTCCAGCTTTTCTTGATACCCTGTAATATCCAGGATAGGGGACAGGTTAAGAATATTTTCAGTGCTGATTGTGTTATACTCTAAACAGCTGACTGCTTAAGAGCCGGAAGACATGTATAAGCTACTTAAAATGATCCCATCTATGAAAGCCCATCCTGTGCTTACCAGATCAACTAAAGATGCTCATGCAGTTCTAAGAACCTAAAGTAGCTGGAAAGGCACAAGGTTTAAAAAAAATCATATTTGAGGGTACAGTGAAGGGGATGGTGAAGGAGGAAGAGGCAGTGATGCTGTTATAGTTTTTTTTTTTTAGTGTACATTTATCAAACTAATATGCATGGAAATATCTGTGCTTGATACATGCAGTATGGAAATGTTTGCTTAACCTGTAGCAGCATGAGTCATTAGGAAACCACCAACATCTGTTTTGGTGATAAAGGACAGTGTCTGTACCTACTGGAATGATATAGTAGATATTAAAGTGAGTGTGGACTTTAATTGGAACAGCATAGGCAAGATCTTTTTAAAAGGGAAGGGCATCTGAAAGGGGAAAAATCCCAGGCTGGTCACAAGGCAGGAACCAGAGGAGGGGATCCCAGTTATTTAAGGTTGAAGGAGAAGGAGTAGAAAACAACACAGTGGAAGGGAGAGGTAGAGGAACTGGAAAACACAATGGGGTCTCAGCTCAGTTGCAGAGACCATACCTGGAAAGTCAAGGGGGTCTCTAACACCTTACTCCCTTCCCTTCTGCTATCTTCCCATTTTAACTTAGTTGGTCTTCCTGTGTAACACCAGCTACAGAAGAGAACCCAGGAATTCCTCTGCTAACGCCGTAATTTCTAGTTGAGCTAGGCTCAGAGCACAGATATTAGTCATCCCACTTGAGTTTAAATATTCAGAGTGAGGGAAATCCAGGCAGATTTTTCCTAGACAGAAATGTTTGCTTTAGTTCTAGGAAGCATGTGTCTAACTTCAGCTCTCAGCAAGTGAATCTTGGTGTACTTGCTTGGCTGCATTAAACAGCCCAGTTCTACTAAAATCTTGTGTGTGTGCTGATTTGGCCGGATCTTAACTAAGACACAGCTCCCCAGTTCTCTTCAATACAATTACAGGATTGAGCTTTTTATGCTTTTCATCGTAGATAAGGGCCACATTTTCCTCAAAGGGATCGTAAGTGAGCATTTTGGTATGTGCAGAGCATAACGCAGTGTCATATGTACTAATACAAAAAATCACCTTTGAGCACAATAACTCCAGTAACAGAGGCAAAACAGACACCTATGCATCTACAAGACAGCGTGATGCTCTTCTCAAGGCTAATTGGCCTTGCTTCTTGGCAGCACATTTAAGGACAACTTTCCACCTTACCCTGTTACTAGTGTTCACACTAGCTCAGGCAGCATTACAAAATGTCACACGCTAACAGATCCATTCTAGTAAAAACGCTGACGAGTACCTGATCCAAAACGAGCAATCAAATGAAAAAATACTAATGTTCTGCAACGATTCATATAATAATAAATCCTTCCAATCTTGTAAGACTATGCCTTCTTCCAAAGCACAGATAATACGGCAGAGCAATATTAAGGATTCAGATTTACGGTCCTAAACTTTGGGAAACGTGCAAATAAGTACTGGGTTCAGAAACTTACTCAAATAAGCTAGTACATGCTTCCCTGCACAAGTGCATTAGGATACAGCCAATAACAGCATAATTAGGTTACCTCAGACACATACAGGACTGATTCTCTACAATACTACACCATTTTGGCAAGGCAGAAAGGTCATTAAAGGCATGCGAGACTAATTTATGCCTATTTTAATAGCCTTTAAAAAAGCCTTTGCAATGGAAAGCTAGTGCAGCGCAAATGAGAGCCAAGCCTAAACACAGGTAGCAATGTAGAAAACTCCTACTATTTAAAAATAGTTTATTGCAGACTGCTCCATAACTAGAGGCATTTTTTACTCTGTAAATAACCTTTACTTTCAGACTGCTCAAATGCTAAGCATTTAACTGTGCAAGTTTATCACTGTGTTAAATATAGTTTCCATTTCAGATTTACAGTTTATATTTTATGAAACTGCTGCCATTGTATTCTTTTCCATTTTGTGGCTATATGAACACTTATTTCAGTGGGGGAGCTATGCCCGTTTACATCATCTGAGGATCTGCCCCTTAAAAATTACTTCAATAAAAGTAAGGATTACTTCTCCTTAACACAAATGATTCCATACACTGCAGAGTTAGAAATGTGCTAACTTCTTAATAAGAAAAAAAAAAAAAAGAAAAGAAAAAAAGTGCCTGTTCTCAGTGGTAATTCATAGGATGGTTCCTTAAGTGAAAACATCCTAACTACAGGAATTTGATTCCCACAGACATGTATACATTTTAAAAAGGAGATTCTAAAGAAATCATTGTTTGTTCACTTGGACCAGTGAATTGTATTTTAATTTGGTAACAGAAAACAGATACCCAGTATCTTAGTTTCTCTATAAACATAGCAAATACAGTAGACCAAGAAACGCACTTCTAAGCTCCAGATGCTGTTCACAGGGAATTCTCCAATTATTTCTCCAATAGTTGCTTAATTCATATGATCTAGACTTAATTCATATGATCTAGACTAATAGTTGTCCTTCAAAGACTAAGCACTTACCTTACTGAATGAAATCTGTCACAGTTTTGACTTCTGTCACAAACCTGAAGCTCAGAGCAAGCACACCCAAGGGTTCATTATAGGTCAGAAATCTTTGGAGTGCGCTTGAGACAAATGGTTAGAGTACCTGAGGTCAGCTGCAGCCTTGCAGAAAACTCACACATTATTTACATTTTGCTGTGGTATCAGCAAAAAAACCTATGAAACTGAGTGATTTCAAATGAGTTTTGCTTTGCATTTGCTTTCATCCAAACTCAGAGCTGTCCTTAGAACTAAACCTAAGCACAATGTCTTATACAAAGCCTTGCTACGTGAAACTATCTAGTGTGGCTTTTCTGACATATGAATTTGGAATAGATTCCTGTGTGCAATTTTTCCCCTAGAAAAATATACCAAGACTGTATCTCTGATGTTTTTGTTTGCTTAGGTCAGTAAGGGAAAATACAGAATTTGACTAAGCTTTACTTTTGAAAAATACATAACAAAATTATTTTTCAAAGCACTAGACTGGGGATATGATCAGGCTGGGAGTCTTGGTTTTGCTGCAGGCCAGCTTTCTCACCATGACTCATGACACCTGGGCACACAAAGACCCCTTCTGTGTCAGTGAAGCTGCTCCCCAGAGAGAAAGCTGCAGTACCAGCAGCATGCCTCCTAAATTGAAGTATAATTCAGCTTTGCAAAGAACAGCAAAAACGTTCCTCTCCTCCAGCAGGGGACCTTTACAGGAATCATGCCTCAGAAGAGTACCAGAGGGCTGGTATGTCCTGATGTCCTTCCTAGAAGAATATGCCATCATCTTCTCAACATTCTCCCTTTATATTCCAGTCTGGCTCTAAATAATGACTGTGGCTAAAAGCGATGTGTTATACCATGTGCTTTGTAAATAGATCATTTATTTTTGGTTGTACCCACCTACCAGTACACAGAAAACAGAGTTTCATCAAGTTGGCACTTCCTGTGTTTTTCTCTATTTCTTCCAAAATTTTACAAGCTCTTACAAAGTGACTAAAGTATTTGGAAACTTATTGAGATTCTTCTGGAAGAGGTATAAGAACACTATTATTCTTGGGCTGGCACAGTGGTCCTGCAGTTTGTTCTTCCCCCTCCTAAGTGAGAGAATTAGTTTTGTATCCCAAAGGCTTATCTTATTTCCTGTTCCAGCCCACTTCTGAAAACACTGTAGGTGGGACTCCTTCAGTCATCAGAGGAGCTGCAGAGATCTTGCACTGGTTATTTCTAGCCAAAAAACACAGAGCTGTGATGGGTTCACACTGATTCTTTCTTCTAACTTAGATAACAGATTGGCAGCTGTGTGGTCTTTACTAAAGTTAGAGATGCAAAAAGGCAAGTTTTAGAAACTCAGTATCCATATTTAAGACAGATGTTTTTTGCCTTATTTCTTAATGAGTTGTGACATCTATGCAGTTAGTTGTTGCTCTGTCTCCTGGTTTGTGATACAGTCACACTTTCTCACCATTCTTCAGGATGCTCTGAGACAGTAGATACAATATATTGTAGATTGCCATGGTACAGATCAAAAAATGTGCTTGAAACAGCGTGTTGAATCAAAAGGTATCGGCCATTTGAATATATCTTCTTCTCATACATAAAAAGAGATGGTAAACCATGCACCTTCAATTAATACATGATTGTGTTATGGGAGAGTCAAATATTGTGTTGGTAGTTTTATTATGACTTTCATAAATCTTATCTCTGTTTCTTAATTAGCATTTTCAACTTATTTAACGTTACTGAATATGTTTTTTTTCATTGTAAACTGTTCATCCAACTCAGGATGGTCATAAAAGTTCTTTCTGACCTTTAAACTCTATCAGTCTCTGCTCTGTTTAGTTCAGATTTCTCAGAAAGACAGTAAATTTCAAAAAGCCTGGCTTACACTCTGTGTCTCTAATCAAATCCATAAACGGGCATGTTCTACCCAAGGAGGGTTTTGATTAAACCTTCGACATCTCCTATCAAAACCAATAAGCCAGGCATGGATGTCCAGGTTCTTCCAAGGATCTGACATCTGATAAGTACCTTCACTACTGACCTCTGATGGAGAGGTGATAAAAGACCAAGGGGCACATAACCTCTCTGATCAGCAGAGCTGTTTTTAGAACAGGTGTTGATTTCCACTCATACCTTTTCTTCTCTGTGCAAACACAAAGGAGAATATGCATTGCCACCTTCCTCTCCTCTCCCAACACCTCCCTCCCGCTGCTTCTGAGGATTGTTTAGGATGGAGAAAGGAACATACTTTTCTTTTCTTTCCTGCAGGCTAGAGAGAAACAGGTTCTTACAAGTTCTTATGCAACGAAGACCTAAGGTGTCTGGCCTATAGAAAATGAATGATTATAACAAGACAACTGAATATAATTTGGTTTTGAGTAATCTAAATGGAAGGGACTGAAGAATTTTGAAAACAGTTTTCATTACATTTTTTTCCAGTTCAGATAGATACTAAATGAAAAAACCAACAGATTGAAATAAGGATATCCCTTTTTAATTAGTGACACTATAATTTGTGCCAAACATTCACTGTAATAATATGTTAAGCTTCTCCTAAAACATTGTAGAACAACATTTTCTACCAGCTTCCTTGAATTTTTTATGACTAATAATTAACGGGAAGAACTGAGCTCTTTCTAGAATAATCTATAGGAGAAGCAGAAATAGTGACCAAGCTATAGTGTCAGAGATCTTCTTCAGCTATCTTGCTGGAAACACTGGGTTTAGTTTTTTGTTTTTGTTTTTTCTAATTAAAGACAGTTCCCCATTCCTATTCTCACCTTTTCAGTAACTGAAAATACCCCGCAGAACAGGAAGGCAAGATCTAGACTACTGCACACTATTCATCCCCTGTATTTGTATGTGTATGTTATCCTTAGCCCTGAGAATGCTATACACAGATCAAGAGAAAAATTTGGCATGGTGCAGCTATAGGAGTCTCCAGTGTTCAGGCATTAGTTGTCTTTAATTCTTTGTTCTAATAAATCCATTGTAATTCAGCTCAAAAGATTTAGGCATGCAGCTTTCCAACACATTGTGTGCGGTTGTAGCTACACAACTCCCATTTGTTTCAAACATGAGAAAAAAAACTTAGCAGTCTTTGTAAGGAAGTGCAACGCCAATCAATAAAAAGCTTAATCTAAGATATTATGGAAGAGATGATTCAGATATTTGTTTATAACAGGCTTTTTTCAGTTTGCTTTTCTAAATTCTTTTAAACCCATAAAGGAAGAAAGTACTAGCATGGCTGCTCCCAAGGCTGAATCCTGTTGGATTCACTATGTAAGGTCCGTGGGGACTTCTCTGCTGAGGCACATCAAATACCATGTTGATACAGATGCGTCAGTCAGGAAAGACAAATACTTGCACATTGATACGTGAAAGACCACAGATGCTTTACTTCCCTACTGGGCTGAGAAATAACACTGAGTTGACGTTACGTGGGTCACTTCACACAGGCAGTCAAACTTTAGGATAAACTTCACCTGAAACTCAAAACTTTGTGGTTTTTTTTCGGTGTGGGCAACTCTGAAGACCTATTCAATGAGATATATCTTCCTCATTTCCTGTGCCCCCTTTGGGTAGACATGATAATGCTCCTGGGCTCCCCAGCAGAATTTAGGTGGTGGGTCTAAGGTGTCACCTGCACTGGCAGTCCTATTTCCATGCATACACTGAGCTGCAACTTCACACTACCTCCACTCACCTCCTTTACGGTCTGACCTGGCCACAGGTCTCATGGTTTTCTCTTACATAAACCAAGGGTGTCTACTGCAGCCAGGAACAGATTCTTTTTATTTTTAAAACACATATGATGCCTGAGTCACTTTTTGGATGGCACAAACCTAAAATATAGAGAATTCATCGCCCTGGAGGTGAAGGGCCCAGACCCGGCAGCATGCTGTTCTGGGGTGAGAGTATCCTCCCACCCATCACCACCTCTGAAACTGGGCTGCTGCTTAGCGAGGAGTTCAGCATTCCTGGGGCCAGAAGGAATGCAAAAACAAAGTCACTTTTTGGTCAGGACATTCAGCAAGGACGCCTGTGTGCTAGCCCCCATTCCTAGAGAAAGCCTACATGATAATGGTGGGCTCTAAAATGCACAGTTCCTCGGTCAGAATCTCAAACTTCCCATTTCACACCTACAGCAGAGGCGAAAGTCCTTAGGGCCTGCATATAAATCCTTTCTTTGAAGCTAGATCTTTATCTCCCCAGGAGCATGAGTAGCATACTGCCTGAGAATTTCCAGTATCTTTATCCAAAAATGTTTGCCTCTCATTTTCCTTTTTGCACTCTTTAATGATGCATATTAGGAGACAGAAAAGCTCAGTTGGATTCACTCATTCATTCACTGCTTCTTTGTTGCATCAAGCTAAATGGTTTGGGCAATGCCTCCTGAAACGACTACTTGCAGTCTATCCTACCCATGAGGAAGCTTTTCTGCTTGATACACATCCTAAAACCTCCATTTCTTAACTCCATCCCATTATGTCTACTTATCCCCTTATACAAGCAACTTTTTATGCACTAATCGTGCATCTCAAATCCAAGTGCACACTTACCAGCTTCAGCCATAATAGTACATATTCAACTCACTTTTTTTCCTTCTGGAGAAACCTTTCAAATTGCTTCTGGCACTATTACTGGGATGAGGGAACACAAAAATATCTTAAAGCAGAAGCTCTGACCAAGCTAAGGATCTGTAGTAGTAACTGCACATGGTATCAAGCTGAAAAAAAGCACTTCAGGAGTCTGTAATCACACAAAACCTCCCTCTAATTCAGTTGGAAATTATTTGCAACCCTGTTCTATTCAGTTACTGAATTACTTTAAGGCAGCAGCATTTTCTGAGGCTTGCAACATTTTTATCCTATCATATTCCTGATATAAATGTAGTTATCTGAGTGGAAAAATAGGTTTACTCAATTCTGCTACATTTCTTGCTGCAACTGGTACAAATTCTACCAAAGAAAACACATTTGCCTACATAAGCCATATCTAAACTAGGAAGTTTTCATTAGTTGGTCAGTCCACACAGCTTTCAAAAGCAGGCAAAGCCATACCCATGACCACTGTTTGTACATGTCTCGGCTACTCACTCACCTGTGCCCCACCTGACTGGAATTATCACTAAAACTTCTCAGAGCAACTATTGCAATTTAAGAGTCCAAAAGTGCTAACATAAAACATCCACTGAGTAATTTTAAAAATGAAATACTAAGCCTAAATGTTTATGATCTCTATATACACTGTCAACCGGATGAGTCCCAGTATTTTCTAATCCTCATTTCTAAAACTGAATTCTTGAACTCAGCACTGTCCTTTTAAAATTAGTTGTTTTAGAAAACATTTGGTAAATATATAGCAATAAATTCCAGAAAAAATGTCATACATTTTTTCTCACCTTAAATAAATAATATCAAACAAATTCTCTAAGGCCTGTCACGTAATCATATAGAATCACAGAAGAACATTCTACGTTTCTTTAATACATTTCCCTATCACAATTGTTCCACTTAACGCTAATCAAGATTTCTCTTGATTTCCTTGAAAATGGTTAACCTGAATCTTAGGAATCAATGAACTTCTTTCCAGAGAGTCACTTTTGGAAAGAATGAAAACACTTCAGATTTTTGGCTGCCTCACCTGGTTTCATGAAAGGCTGCACACAACGCGACGTGAGCGTTGGATCCTCCCCTCCGGCCAGGCGGTATTTACGCTGATGTCACCTGGAACGCATCGTCAGGGCCAGTGTTCGAACACTTGTAAATATTTTCAGCTCTGTCCGACGGGCAACCATTAGAACAAGTGGAAAACATGCGGTGCAATATGCATCAGTAAAGTTCTTTCAGTCTTTCAGTCTAAAATTTAGAAAGGGGAGAAATAAAAACCTAATACCAAGCCCTTATAATTTAATAGGGTGAGAGAGCTCAAAATGCTTCATCTTCGAAACATCACCTGCCTCCCTACAGCTTCCCCTGCTTTTGAAAACCCTCGCTAATCTGTCAGCTCCCTGCTCAGTCAAGCTAACAGGACCACTTAAGAAATTTAAGAAAAACCAATGTCATCCTTTTTTCGGTGGCCCTTTCTCTTGCGGTTGTATATGGTTTAAACAAGAAGGATAACGCTGGATACACTCAGCTCCAGCATATTAATCACAGAGCAAACAGCCCTCCTTGAAGCTGGACACTCACAAAGAAACACATCCATACGTTCCTCCCTCTCTCCTGACTCACTTTACTCTCATCTTTAAATCAAGCAAGAAATAAACCAGATCTCCTCTGCTTTCCACTATCAGCACTGTACATAATCCCATTTTGGTAACAATCCATATGGGCAATAATCAATCAAAGAGAGTGGATTAACAACGGTAAGAAAATGCACGGTGACAAAAGACTTTCCCTTGCACCCTGGCTCGCGATCAGAAAACTGTCAAGACAAGCACCTTCTTCAGGCTAATTGCTGACAAATGAAAGATAAACACACTGTTATCATAACTACATCCCCTCACTTTTAAGAGAGGGAATGCAATTAAAGCCTTAACTATTACAGCAAATGTGACATCCGTTTATTGTTCTTGTTTCACACAAACGGTGATTTATCTCTTTTCATTCAACCAGTTGCTATTATGAAAGACTTGCATTTGGCGAGGAGGCAGACGCGGACAACTTCTGGGTGAAGAAGTTATAAGAAGCCTATAAGGAAAAAGAAACGACGCATTTTGCCACAGCGTGCAAGCCGGCACGTCGTGGCACAGCACACGGGGTGCGGCGGACCGGGCTTGCCGAGGAGCACAGGGGAGCAGGGGGCTGCAACGTGCTGCGGGGAGATCAGGAGGACATTCCCTGAAAAGCCCGCGGCTGGGCAGCTGTCACGGCCCCCTCGCCTTGCCCCACTCGCTCACGTGCAAGCGTGCCGATTCTCAGGAGCGACTGTCAGATTAAAACTGCTCTGATTAAATCCTCTAATGCAACGCGGCTGGCACCTCGCTGAGCTGCCGCCACTACAGTGACGATGGGTATTGCCAGCGGATGCATTAGCAGTTAGGTTGCGCTATGAGGCCTCAGTGCTTTGCTGCCCCAAACATGCGCGCAGCTCCTGTGTTTCATACCAACCCTTCCAAAGCCAGGACAGCAGACCAAGCATTCCCACGCACGGGTATAGGTCTCCTGCGAGAAGATCCTCAGGCTAATATGACTAATTCAGCACAGTGAAATACTTCCTAACCATGTTAGCAACCTTTAAAACAAGCAATCTGTTCACATGTCTCTGAACAAACCCATCAGAAATTGCATGCTTATTTCTCACAGCAGGAGTCATTATTGCCCTTAATTTCACCTTTTCGTAAATACAAAATTTAGAAGCAGAGTATCTATGATTTTCCTCTGCTTTCATAATTTTCATTTTCAGGACAACTTCAGTAAGAAGAAAAGTAGTTTGTTAACTACTATCGAACAGATTTGTGACAGAGGACATAGCATGACAATTTTAATGCCATTCGCAAATGTCAAGTTCTTCCTACTGCCTTTATTCGTCTGCTCCACACACAGACACACTAGGGCAAAGCAGAAGGAATACAGCTTGCCTGCTCTGCTTTTGGTCCTCCCCTTACCTTCACCTTCCATACCTCATTTTTACAATGGTGCAATCTATTTAATATATTCTAGAAATATACTTTCTAATTATGTCACTGATATGCTCATACTGTACTACAAATATGACCTTATACTAAAACCAAGTGCATTGTTGATAGCTGACTTAATTTAGCAGATAGAATAGCAAAACTACACGATCTTTGGCCCTCATGTGATTTAATAACTGGGGAGAAACACTGCTTTAGGGTAAATTATGGAAGATTTTTTTTAAATGAAATGTCACAATTAAAATCCTTCTAAAATCTACTAAAGGATATTATCCTTGTGCCACAGGATAATATCCTTTAGTAGATTTTACTGAGGAGGAATTGAGGAATTAGGTCTGCATTTGTTAGACTTTTGCAAGAATGCATTTGAATCTAGATACATGTAGTGGATACATTTGTTAAATATGAAGTCAAGATGTTGAGAGCGCATCTCTTGAAACTATACTCATATGGAGAAATCTGTAACACCCAACTAGATGAAAAATTATATCTTATAATAATAAGCCTGCCCATGGAATAAGGGGTAGGCTCAGTCAATGCAGACTCATGACAACAGTCTAACTGGGTAAGATGGAGGAAACCGGCTGATGTAAGCGTATATACAGCCGGTGAACAGCAAGAAAAAAAAAAAAACTAATGGATCCCAAATGAGAGACTCCCAAACTCAACTCAAAGCAACCTCTGAGAGGACCATGAGCAAATAGGAGATGTTCCAAAGAGATACTGTTGGGTAAAGCACTAAAACTGCCTCATACGCTGTAAATGCATCCATGACATGGAGCTAGGACCTCATGTGTGGGTAGCCACCTCATACAGCTGTTGGGCTCAACTCAGCTCATGTATTTTCATTGTGTAACCTTTAAAATACAGTAGAAAAAGAGAGGGGTCTGTGGAAAAAAGTTTAACAGTATAACATTCTGCCTATTGCAGTCCTAAGGCTCACAATGAATGATGTAGTTCTAGTTAACGTCTTTTCTCAGAGATGTGCTTATAGAGGGGAACACACGATAGATGTGAGATAAAGAGGTTAGTAAGTACATTTTCACCCAGACAGAATGGAGCATTATAATACCTTTACTATGTTTCTTCTAACTTCCAGTAATTCCTGCACCAACCTTTTTGCTTGAAACACTTGATGTGACAGCAAATCCACCATATCCTTTGAGAAACTAAGCCAGTGGTCAGTTATGCATTCAGTGTTCTTTTTTTTCCCTTTTGACAACCCAAGAAATATCCAGGCCATGTTTTAGGAGGATTCCAACTATGCCTTAGAATTTTACATAGCACAAAAATCTATAGTTGCACAAAGGACTGACTTTTTGAGAAGTTATATAAAACTTCACCTTAGAGCATCAGCCAATCACTGGAGTTGGCTGGGAATTTTCTAAAGATGCATGGTTGTTCTCTCAATGACATTTTTCCTTTTTTCAAAATCGATGTGAACAACCACGGAGTCCTCACAGGATCTGAAGGTCACTCGCATGTGCTGGGCTCCTTCGCAGGCCTGTATTTCCTACAAAACAGCAGATTACCTTCCCATTGTATAGTAGAGCAGATTCATGGATTTGAATTATATGATGTGCAGTAGGCTTTGGTGTCCAACCTGTAAAAACATCTGGACTAAAACACCCCTGAGCCACCATGACTGCATGGTGGATTAAACTTGCAGTGAAATGCTTTAATATTTCCAAATGTAAACATTTTTAAAGCTTCTATTTTCTTCAGAACCTTTCATTCCTAATGACCTCTTCTGGATCAAGGAAGCTACTTGCTTCAGCAGTTTTTTTCTGCCACAAGGTGATATGCACCATATAAAAATTAGAATTTCTCAAGTCTATGGTTATTCATAATTGTCTACATTGGGGATTTTCACATCTACTCATGAACCATCTGGTACTATCAATATTAGAAAGCCGTTACTAGACTGAAAGAACAACTGTCTTATCTCATACAGAAATACCCACCTTCCCTGAAAAACAGCTAACCATTACTCCTAGAATTGGTTCACCTTTGCACATCACTGTACGTTCCGCAGGGAGTCTTCCTCCTCCACAGGCTGAACCCAAACCAAAGCAATGGTCTGCAGTGATAACTATTTCCCCTTTCACTGACAAAGCAAGATACCTCCCCTCCCCCCTGTTCAAGACTTTCATAAATGGTAATCCTTTGTGCAACCATAGCCACATCTTACTGTGCTCAGGGTAAGGATCAGATTATACATTTGCTGCAACCTCTAGACTGAGCCCTTAATGAAATGTCATCATGGCAAAAGTTATATTTTAGAGCTACGTGATTTAATTAATACTGCAAACTCCTTGGATAATGCTGTTTCCAATTTAATGAAAGAATGTCTTCCAGCTTTCATTTATTTATTTTTAACAAAGACAATAGTCCTCTTTGCATCTCCTGCTGTCAGCACGTAGTTCCAGCCTGTCCCAAACTAACCTGCTTTTTCCTGTACCATGGTCTTTAAAAAATTATGCACAGATGTCCCTGTGTACATTTTTCATAAAAAGTTCTTTGCCACTTTAGGGGCAAAGGCTCTGGAAACAAAATAATCTGGACCAAGTTTTAGAACGTTATAAAAAAAAATAAAACAAACAAACAACCAAGCAATGCTGCAAGGCTTGCTACAGATGGCTGGGAGCAGCACTTCATTTTTCATTATGGGGGGTGATGGGTGACTTTATTTTTCTTGGCCCTGAGAAAGACCAAGCATTCCCTAAGCCATGTAAATATCTAGCATCGTCTCACTCTTAGTGCAAGATGAGTATATGCATTAGTGGCTTTTCTTCAGACATATGCTAGCTGCTTTAAGACTTAGATTTCACGGTGGGGAGAAGGGGTAAGAAAGTTCATGGGAACGTCTCCAACCCCTTCCCTTCCCAAAGAAGTTCCTGTAAAATGTTGTTAAATAAGGTATTTGTGATGCCTTGAGAGTAAAATATTAGGGACGGTTTATGAACACAGAAACGGCTGTCTCATCTAATACCTTGTCACCAACTGTGGCCAGTACGGTGCTCTTCAAAGAAAGATGTGGCTGACCCAGGCCACCCACAGAGAAAGTTTATCCCTAATTCTTACGAGTTAAGGATGGATCCAAGGTCTGAAGCACTGAGAATTTTCCCTCAGAGGCCAAAAGTCTATTCACCTCACTCATGGCAGTTGTCTTGTCAAAGGCACTGAAACTAAAAGCAGAATAACAAGTAGGATGCTAAAAATCCTAAATCATTATTTCAAAAAACAGTTGCAAATAAGGCATTGAAAACATATGCTGCACTTACAAACCAGAGAGCTGTCATTGTTAAATGATATCACAGCTGGTGAAGAGGAATTCTTCTCTGGTGGCAAAACTGCCCCTCCTGACTCATTTCGTGGATACAGTCCTCTCCACTGTTGTTCATTGTCTAAAATGACTTGAACTGTCTTTCCAGTTTGTGTTGCAAGCTTCAGAATTCTGTTCCCTGTAGAAAACATATAAAGCAAATGAAAAAAAAATTACCAACACTAGTCTCTTGCCTAATACTTTGTGTATGTAAAAAGACTTTTTTTTTTTTAATGGACTTGAACAAGTCCAAGTTAATGCTCATTGTTCTGGAAAAGAAGTGTCTAGCTCTCTTGAACATCTCAGCAAATCTAAATCCTTATTTAAATTTAATCTTAAAAATTAAATCTGAGCGCTCGGCAATTCTTCCCTCTTCGGATGGCAAGAAAAATCTTGTCTGAATATGGTAATAGGAGTCAGAAGGCACTGACAGAGCACTTGGTTGAACATTTACAAACAAATTTAGTAAAGCAGGGAAACGTCAATGCTCTCTTTGACAACTTTCAGAATACTGTACTAAGTAACATGTCTCTTACTTTTTTCTAGTTACTAGATAGCTTAGTACAACAAAGACACTATTTGTCTTGTGTAGATCCTTTTTAATCTTTTATGTTCAGGAAGACATGGGAGAGAGAGTTTTTAGTCTGAATGACAACATAGGTGGCCCTAATTAGGTCTATGCCAAAAAAAAAAGTTTTTTTTCTGTCAAAGAACAAATTTTAAAAAATGATGTGGAAGAACATATACTCAGGTGGAAGAGACAGTCGTTTAAGTTTTGTTGTTTTTTTTAAGGAATAGTCCCAAACACTCCATTTTGAGGCAAGCCTCTTCTTTCATTTAATTTACAATGAGCTACTGCTGTTAGTTATCAGTTACTGCCTCTTTTTTCTGAAATTAATCAATTTTAAAATCAAAAATGCAAAACCTGTAGCTATTAAAAGAGAGCAAAATGTTTTAGCAGTTCCAGAAAGTCTTTTGACATTTTTTGAAATATCAAAATTAATCCCTTCTTTTGGCTACAGTTATTCACTGGATTTGCCTACAAATTCATTCCCTGAAAATCTGTTTTGGCACACATATGATTACACAATTTTTTCCGCTAATTAGAAGGACCATAGATTCCCTGTCTAATATATCCTTAAACTAAGACAACATCTGGTGATTAATTAATATCATTCACATTATTAGATCTAGAGCCTTCCTGGTGTTTTCATGAGAGAGGATATAAGGGGAGCACAAAGAGAAGAAACACAGTAAGCGTTTCCCATTTCTTTTTAAATGTCTGCTTGTAATCAGGCAGAATGCCTCCTCTTCGGGAGGGTGCAAGGGCTTCTCCCTCCTTTTTCCTGAGGGTGCATAATCACCCAAGCGAGGCAGGTTCACCTGCAACCAGCCCTGCCGCTGTGGATTGACGCGGGACAGAGGAGTTGCTCTGTGCAGAACAAATGGGAAGGGGAAACATCACTTTTCTTCACAGAAAGATCAGTTGCAGGACTGCAGCATTCCTGGGCGGTAACCAGCTTAGTTTTGCTTTGGTCTTTGTTAAAGGTCTGATACAACATCTATGGAAGTTTTTCTAGCTGACATCAGTGGTTTTGAACAAATCACAGGTGCAGTTTTCCTGGGGGCTATAATGGCTTCAGTTTGCCATTCGCACCAGCTGACTTGTGAAATGCAGTACAAGACACCTTCTTATAGGACATCTCACAGGACAGAGCCACGGCTCTGCAGCCATAGAGCCTATACCCATTCAGTGGGGATTGAAAGCATGGCTGAATCCAGCCTATGCACTCCAAACCCCTGTCTGCAGTACTCTATAAAAACAAGGCAGGGTGCAGGCCTGAGCACGGACCCCACATTATCCATGTGGTTCAGCTCTCAGTATGCATGGCAGCTCTGCCAGCCTGCACCCATCAGTACTCTGCCAGGCAATGCCTGTACAGGGCTTGCAGGTAACGCAAGTTTGGGATGGCTCTCCAGAGCCGGAATGGACAAGCCCAGTCTTCTGCCAGGGCAGGGAGGAGACTGCAGCTGTATGGACCAGACACATCTTGCCTCTTGGCCTCAGGGACAGAGAAAAGGCTCTGGTTCATTTTACTTACTAATATGGATGCAGCCATAGTGTCTGCTACCCTCCAGGGCAGAAAGCCATATAAGAAAGAAATTACTTCAGAAAGAAATTACTGCCTTTGAGCCTACAAATATGGTATGAATCAGTGACTAACTTTATTCCCACAAGAAGCTACAGTGAGTTCCCAGGACTATTCCCTGGTTCTCACCTGCATAGCGTGAAAGCTTAAATAAGGCCGTACATTTAAGATCCAGAAGTCCCAACTCTCAGGTAATGCAAACTAGCACGTTCCTTGAGAAATAGGCAGAAAGATAAAAATTCCCTAGCATAACATACAGGAAAGAAAAATAATGTAAATATACTGCTGTGACTGTCTAGGATCTTAAGGATTACAATTATATTGAACCAATTACTGTGGATTTTGTCATCTCGCACTAGAATTTTTTTTACTAACTATTATATTCCAGAATGCCTTGACCTGGATTAAGCCTCCTTGCCTACTGCTCTCAAGAAAGGATGTATCCAGTGATTAAGACATTTTACAGTCCAAGAATTCTTGTTATTTCTGTCTTCTCTGTCCTTTCCCTACAGCAATTCCACTCACCTGTAAAGGAGGCACACACATTAAGAGGTACAGAGAAGATGCATGAGAAGACGATAAGAGGATAATTTTGCATAAGGGACAGAGAAGGGGAAAGCAATCAGAACTAGGAGCAGGAGGCGAAGCAGGAGGACCCAGGACTGAAACGGCAATACCAACAGCAGGAGACATTTAACAGCACTGACAATGTTACATTGATAGCAATAAAATAAGTATTAGTGCTGCATCCCTGTTTCCCTTTCCCCACCTAAATAACTCTTCTTCTAGCTTGGTATTTGAAAGCTGAACGGTTTTGCTAGTAATCAGAAGAACTGTGAGAACCTAAACAAATCTGTTTGGCGAGAAAGTTCACTTTAAAAAATTAAAAACAAAGCAACTTTCCAAGCAGGGAGAGAGATGGAGAATAATTAGAGTCAATTGAAACATCTCCAAGAAATCAAAAAAAAAAAGAAAGGAAGACTTAATTATGCACAAGTTTCTTCTCCTAGCATGTTTTTTGACTTGGCACAGCTGGGAAATTGAACGTTTACTGCCAAAATATCTAATGTGCCTCACGTGTGCTCAGTGCTTGTGCGTGTGCATTTTTTGCTCGCTTTGTCTGATTGCACACTAAGAAAAATAATGGACTCAGAGAGATAAATACTGGCTGCTGTCTGGATTTTCAGTCTAGTGGGAAGGGTCTCTGCAGACTTTTCCAAGGAAATCACAAGGGGCTTTTTATACATAAGTTGTAGCTCTTAGCAAACAGTAAGCAGCAACTTTTGCAGCTAGTGGTTCTTTAAGACACTACAGTCAGTGTCCAGGTCCACTTATCATTTTGCAATGATAAATTATTATTCCAAGAGCACACTTCTGCTGAAGGATGTGCAACAGAACTAATAATGACCTAGTTTTAGGAACTAGTAGGCTCCTTTCTCTTTGTAGTTTGCTCACAATGAACTTTCTACATATTCAGTCCTCTAATAGGAGTGTAAAAAGATCAGTTTAACAGAGAAATAGCCCAAGACTATATGGGATAACTTCCCCCAAATGTACTCATCTTATCTATACTAATATTAAATAGGATTTACATATTTAAATCAAGAAAGGGCATCACCTTTGAAGGAAACTGGAGAACTGCACATGACAAAGCTGCCAGATTTCTAGTCACTGGACTAGGGGCAATATTTTGCTGCCCAGTTACTATATATTTCTTCAATGAGATCTTCTTCCTATCTGAGATTCAATTTTATTTGGCTTACAACTCTCCTGTGACTTCACTTCCTTTCTTGCTAACTTATCTCTAGTTATGACAGGAAAAATTTTAGACTGTCACACTTAAAAAAAAGAAATATTCCTCCTACATATGTATTTTTAGACTTCCAAAGATATTCATAGATCATTGTGACAACTATGACACAAATAAAAACACAGATTCCATCTAGTAAAAACTAACTTAGCCCTTGTCATATCGACACAGGTCTTAACATGATGGAATACTTCAGGGATCTGCAAACCACCCCTTGGTCCCACATAATTAGTCCTGTAACTTTTACAGGCAAAATCCCTACTGAGGACTCTTGGCACTGGCCTTGTAGAAGTCTGAAGGCGGCGTAGTCCGAAGACTAGTCTGAACACAGTCATTCTTCTTTAAGAGACTCCCGCAACAGTAACAGAAAGATAATTTTCATATATGGTAGTTATGAGAGTTTAGTATTCAGTCGACAGAAAACTCTTTTCCTTTTTCCTTTCTTCATAGATTTTGAAGACATGCCAAAGCACAGTCACCATGCAAATGTGTGGTGTTTAGTTTGGCCACTTTGGCTGCTCTCTGTTCTCCAAGTTCTCTGTGCAGGGTGATAGCTCCAACCTCGCCTTGGCTTCTTATGCCAAGAGAGCTGAGGAATACGAGGCTCCAGCACACACCCAGAGACATCTCTCTTTGCATGAAAGATCTTGTGCAGAAATTGTGAAAGAAAGCATGCATGGTTATCTTGTGAGGACCTCTCACAGGATACGATGCTGGGAGCAGGAAGGACACGCTGGCTAGGCTGTGGCTCTGAAGACAACCCAGGTAGCACTGAGACACAGGCAAAGTCTGCTATGGCCACTGCAGGCAGTGCAGATTGGCAAAGTTACGTCAAATCCTGCTCCAGGCACAAGGGCGAATCATGCTCGGATGAATTATAAAGATTGCTCAGCACTGCCAAAATGCCCTTTGAGGCACAACACACAGTCTCCTCCCTCCCTCTGTACACATTTTTATAGCCTTTGCTTTTTATTGGCTGGGTGAATTGTGTATGCACTATTGGTAAGCACTCTAAATCATATGAAAGGCTGGTCAAAGAGTTTTTCTTCACAATTAATGATGCTTTTGGTAATTATATTTGCTCCTGAAGTTCTTTAGAGAAGACTTTCCCACTATTATTTGTGACTCTTCTTTATCCTATATCATGTGATTCTTTTATTGTAGGCG